CTTTCCCTAGGACTCTGTTCAAATGTCATCTGGTGGGGCCAGCTGGTGGCATGGTGTTTAAGGCACTGGACCACCACTTGGTTAACTGTCATTCAAGTCTTGGACCAGGCAGCATCAAAATCATGTTGAGCGTGTGTGTGTGTGTGAGTGTTCCCAAAATCCCAGGAGGAGAATGGAGAAGAAGAACGTGTGACGTGACCACACCTCTTGTGTAGTGATTTCTAACTTCCCTCCCCTCTGTCTCTCTCCTCTTCAGTGAGCATATGTGTCATATGACGAAAACCAAATACCAAAAAAGTAAAATTCACCTTGCCTGGCAGTTCTGCCTGCCACCTCCAGAGAATCATCCCATGTATACTCTCTCATAGGATCACAATTTCGTGTTCTTCAGAGCACTTATTAATATCTTATGTGTTACATGATTAGTTAACTCTATCAAATCCTCTTATCTGATTGTCAATAAATTGTATTTTAGTTTCTCAGCGACTTATACTCTTTATCTAGATTATGCTTGAAACATGGGGTGCTAGAGGGGGAAGGGCTCTCAAATGATATTACTCAAAAAGTTGAAAAAAATTCTCAGCTCGTGATAAACTCAAATAGCTCCAGATATCACCAGATGTCACTGGGGTCAAAATCCCCTCCACCCAGTTGAGAGCCACTGTTTGATTTTATATACCGAGTGTCTGCACTTCAAAAAAAAAAAAATTGAAACCATACTGCTTCTGTTGTTATAGAGTTATAAAATTATACAAAATTATAAGAAATATTCTGAACAGTATCTTTAAAATTCAGTATTTTAAAATATTGAAAGTTGCTTATAAACTGTCAAGATCTATGGAGTATGAGCTAAAATTTTTGGATATGTAAAGTAAATGTTTGTGGAAAAATGTAAAAGTAAATAAATGAAAGGAAAAAAATTGCAGAATTCATGACCTCTTTAGGAAAGGTTGAGAGTGGGACAGGAATTCCCAGCCAGAGGTATCCCAGAAGGGAAGGATGTATGAAGAGTAAAGGCACAATGCATAATATGTGTAGTTTAATTTAACTGACTAAAAAGAATTTAAATTGGAGCATTTAACTCTCTGGATAATGCCCTTTTGAGTTCACATTCATCATTTTGCCTTTCTTTTTCCTTGTAGCCACCTCTATCACATGAAACCAGGGAATGGTACAAGAATTTCAGCATTTATTCTTCTTGGACTTTCAAAGGAACCAGAATTGGAGCCCCTCATATTTGGGCTCTTCCTCTCCATGTACCTGATCACTGTGTGTGGAAACCTGCTCGTCATCCTGGCCACCATCTCAGACTCCCACCTGCACACCCCCATGTACTTCTTCCTCTCCAACCTGTCCTTCGTAGACATCTGTTTCACCTCCACCACCGTCCCAAAGATGCTGCTGAACATCCAGACACAGAGCCAGGTCGTGACCTATGCAGGCTGCATCACCCAGATGTTCTTTTTCATACTCTTTATAGGGTTGGATGACTTCCTTCTGACCGTGATGGCCTATGACCGGTATGTGGCCATCTGTCACCCCCTGCACTACACGGTCATTATGAACCCCAAGCTCTGTGTATTGCTGGTGCTCACGTCCTGGATCCTGAGTGCTCTGCATTCCTTGATGCATAGCTTAATGGTGTTGCAACTGTCCTTCTGTACGCACACCGAAATCCCCCACTTTTACTGTGAACTTAATATGGTGGTCCACCTTTCCTGCTCTGATCCCTATCTTAACGACATGTTAATGTATTCTGCAGCTGGACTGCTGGGTGGTGGAACCCTCGCTGGGATCCTTTACTCTTACTCTCAGATTGTTTCCTCCATACTTAGAATGTCATCAACTCGGGGGAAGTATAAAGCCTTTTCCACCTGTGCCTCCCATCTCTCAGTTGTCTCCTTATTTTATGGTACGAGTCTAGGAGTATATCTGAGTGCTCTTGACAGTCAAAATTCACACTCAAGTGCAACAGCCTCAGTGATGTACACTGTGGTCACGCCCATGCTAAACCCTATCATCTACAGTCCGAGGAATAAAGACATAAAGAAAGCCCTGGGTGACCTACTGGGAAGGAAACCATCATAGAATAAATGATCCTGGCAGTGAAGAAGTGTCCTTGTTATTAGAGCTCAGAGCTTCAGTCTCAGAAATGGTGATAATCTGATCATATTACGGAAGTAGAACTTACTCCTTGTAATGCTCTTCGCTAACTTCTGTGTCTTATATTTCAACTTCTCTGTACAATTTAAGAACATCACCTTATTAAGTTTCCACTCTGGCTCAGAGCAGCTTTTTCCCTTGGTTCACTTTGTATTCCATATTTTTTTTTCCCCTAATCATAGATCAGTAATACTTGGAACACCCTTTTAATTTCATGAGTCCACATGGATCTCTAAGAATAATTGTTTCTGTAATACACCAAGTAATTTTCCTTTTCTTCTATCATAAATAACTCTATGTTTTAAGGGGCATAACAATGGAAAATGATCTGTTGATAATGATGTCTATGGGAATGTCTCTCATTGGACTTGTATACAGTATATTCATGCTGGAAAAATTCATTTTGCGTGTTGTTGTGATATACAGTCAGTGAATGTAAAAAATTAAATAAAAAAAGAAAAACTTTATTACTAAAGAAATAAAATTATTTTTATAAATTAAGAAAAGTGTGTGGTCAGTATTACAAGGAAAACCTGACTTCAGGATATTCTAGTTTTTAGTTCATCTTTTCTTTTTATTTCACTACCATAATTTTTCCTAACCTACAGTTTAACAGATCAATTTGGCTTATAATTTTCATTGTATTTTCTTCTCATATTTATGATCCTATTTGTTCTTGACCCCAGTGTCCACAGGGCCTATGTGTGCTCATGGGAGCCGGTAAATAGTCATTAATTTTTGCCAGAATTTCTTCAATACAGCGTGGGAAGTCCTGGAAAAAATTAATGGCTATCTACAGACTCACACAATTACATGCCCATGTATGGGGTTGTTGTAAATGTCATGATGTATTTTTTCTATGTTTTTCTATGAAAAAATGTGTCAACATTTTTCCAACAATCCAGTGTTTCCCTACCCCCACCCTCTCCTTTGTAGACATGAGTTTCAACTTCACCACTGTCCTAAATATGCTGATGAATATGCAGACACAGAGCAAGGCCATAACTTATGAAGGCTGCATCACCCAGATGTATTTTTTTAACACATTTCGGGGTTAGATAACTTTATACTCACCATGATGATCTATGATGAGTTTGGGGTCATCTGTCAACCCCTGCTTTTTATCGTCATCATGAATCTCCATCTTGGGGGACCACTGCTTCACTTTTTTCTGCTCATGAGTGTCCTTTGTCATTATATAATTTAATGGTTTTGTGGCTGTTTTTCTGTACTAACTTGAAAAACTCTTATCACTTCTCTGAATTGATATGACTTGTCCATGTTACTTGTTTAGATACCTGTCTTTCTTTCTTTCTCTCTCCCTTCCCTTCCCCTTCCTTCCTTCCTTCCTTCCTTCCTTCCTTCCTTCTTTCTTTCTTTCTTTCTTTCTTCTTTCTTTCTTTCTTTCTCTTTCTTTCTTTCCCTCTCTCTCTTTCTTTCTTCCTTCCTTCCTTCCATCCTTTCTTTCTTTTTTGGGAGAATTTTTTGCTATAGGGCACGTACGCTTGCCAGAAAGACAGAGAGAGACAGAGATAGAAAGAGAGAAATCACCACCCCCCGGGGGGATGGCTACGCCGCAATCCCTTATCTTCCAATTTCCTCTCGGGATCTTGGGCACACACACACACGTGCCCAGCGTGAGTTTTAAGCCACCGGTTCCGGGACGTGAACCGCGGTCGACTATGTGGGAGTCCTGCGACAAAGCCATTACACTAACTGCTGGTCCCCCTTCCTATAGATCTTAAAATCTCCAATTTTTCTCTCCCTTTTTTTAGTTACATTTATTCACTACATCTTTATATAGTGCAAAATGGTTTTTCCCAGCATGAATACAAAGCATATGAGTCAAGTCAACGACATTATCATATACATTATTATCTTTGGTTAATTTTTATTTTGTGTGTCTCATAATTATGTTTTTCGTATAAATAAGTGTGTGGGGTTCCCATTAAACCCCATTCCTTACTTCATTCATAACTTTCTTCCCATCGCTTAAGCCTCCTGAACCTCATTTATGCAAATGTAGAATGGATTTCAAGTAGTACTGAAGGCATTTGAAAAACTAAGTGAAGCAATTCATGACATTTGTTTTCATTTTGTTTTATTTTGTTATTGGATACATGCGCACCCTTCAGAGAAAGTGAGAGAGAAAGTGAAAAATCGTCCCTACAGCGAAATTCTTCCTCTTCCATCTCTCCTGGGGATTTTGCACACAGATACACACAAGCCCGCCATGTTTTCTAAGCCACTGGGACTTGGACTGCACAGTTGCCCATATGGGATCCAGTCACCTTAACCACCATGCCACCTGGCTTGCCCACTCCATATAACATTCTAACATCAGTTTTGGGGACATAAATGTCCCTCAGCATATTTCTTAACCATTACCAATGTTTCATAAATGGAGGACTAATGCCAACTCCTAAGTTGAGTTATAGACCAAAAACCCCTAGCTGTTTTGTCATGAGCACCATGAAGTCCATGACTGTCATAACTACTCAAGGTTGCATAGCAGATAAACACAATTCTCTGTCATGATAAAAAGGAATAGCAATTTTTGGGACCAGCAGTTGGCATAATGGCTATGTTGATGGGCTCCCATGTAGTCCATCGCAATTCAAGTCCTGGACCCGGTGGCTTACTCATGCCAGGTGTGTGTGCATGTGTGCCCAAGATCCCAAGAGGAGACCAGAAGAGAAGGGATTGCAGTGTGGCCATCCCCTCTGGGGGATGATGTCTCCCTTTCTGTCTCTCCGTCTCTCTCTGTCTTTCTGGTGAGCATACGCACCCTAAAGCAAAAATCTCTCTCAAAAAAAAAAGAAAAAAGTAATAGTAATTTTCAGAAGATATTAGGAGCTGTATATTTACAAGTCAATGCTTTGGTGTTCAAAGAGAATTGAGAAAGGCAGGTATCTCAGACTCTATGGGACATTTTAATTTTTGTAATAGTGCTAACAAGATGACAGCTCTGTACACAGCAGAGTCCCCAAAGAAGGACCAATAAAGACTGCATTCGCCTGACATCTAACTGGGTTTCCTGGGAACAGAAAATTAGCAGGGAAATTTTCCTTTCTGGCCAGACTGTGTCTCACAGGGAAATCATGTGCTCAGGGATTGTAGTAACAACAAGAAAATGTCAAATGAACAGATATAGAGAGATGTAAGGATCTGGTTTTTTATTGTCCCTCAGAGGGTACAGTCGTAGATTGAATGTGGGTTGGTTGTTTTGTGGTTTTTATTCTGCTTTGTTTTTCATGCCCTAAGTCTAGCTAGAGTATTAATGCTTGCACTTTGATGCTGTCTTGTCTTGGGACCACACTTCAGTCTCTATCATCAATGATCCAGGGAGAAGTTCAGACCCTCACATGGAGACATTCTTGTCAGAGAACTCATCCAGGTGAGTCTTAGAGCCTAGTAACTACTACAGAAAAGATTCGCAGAGAAAATAGAAGTGGAGAATGTTTGCCTGAAGTCACTTGAAGGACAACCAGCCTTGCCCAGAACCAAGAGATCACTATGTTTATTTGGTTGGCCAATAGATTAATTTGTGATTAATTTATTTTATATGTTAAAAATGAAATATTAGGGGCAGTGGTGACATGGAGGTTAAGGTTGGTAGATCTTACATGGTCAAAAGTGTCATTTCATTCCCAGTCCTGGTGTATTCCACCAGATTCAAGTGTATGTGTGCCCAAAATCCCAAGAGGAAACTGAAGAGACAGGCTTGCAGTTTGGCCATCTCCCATGGAGGTAGATTTTCCTTTCTCTCTCTCTCTCTCTCTCTCTCTATCTCTCTCTCTCTCTCTCTCTCTCTGTGTGTAGCACACATATCCTATGGGAATACAAATTAAACAAAAGAGTCTTTTAATCTCTGCAAAGCATGCGTCATTGTGGACAATTATGTGATAAGAATTTCACTTAAATTGGATGAGACTGAAGGACTGGGAGAAGTAAGATAATTCCACTAAAATTAGAATATGTCCATGGAGATTTGCAGTAAAGGGGTTTAAAATTGTGTTATATGGTTAACAAAGCTGTGCCTTAAAGTTTGGGCCTTTTTTTTAGTGAAGTTTTAAGATGAGATATATTTGAGCATGTTTCTGTATTTATAACAAAGATCATGCCAAAGGATTGCTTCCAAATACAACCTAGCCAAAGCAGTTCATAACAGACATTTCCCAATGTTTTCCCTCATATTGAGTATAAAATGAAAAAAAAATAAATTTATTGGACACAGGAAAAAAGTAAAGAGTTTTACATTTTATTGATTTCATTAGTGCTGAGGCTGAATGTAATTTGATCTTTGCTAGTCTTTTTATTTGTGTGTGTGTGCAAGTCACCTGCAAGTTTTTTTTTTCTATTATTATTACTTGCTCAGAGCTTCAAGAGCATTTCACCAGTGCTAGCATCTTACTGATATTATTTATTCCAATCTCTAGATCACCTGAATCTTTCAGATCTGTTTCCCTCTCTGTGCATCTTTCTCACCTCTTTCTGCTTAATCAAAAGATCTCCTAATGTTTCATTAAAAACAGAGCTTCAAAATGCAGTTTGCATGTCCATGGGAAGTGTGCAAATAAAATCTTGCTGCTATATCCACGTTGTCACACGGCCACATGCCATAGTAGGACAGCATATAAAAGAGGAACCCTCAGCGTCTTCGAGTTTCTGCATCAGCACGCTCCCTCATTCCTCAGCATCTCCTGATTTTTCATATTTCCCCTCTTGCTCTTTCCCCCTGCAAGTTATTCATTTTCCCCGAACCCCTCACAGATCCCACCTAGGACTCTGTTCAAATGTCACCTGGTGGGGCCAGCTGGTGGCATGGAGTTTAAGGCACTGGACCGCCACTTGGTTAACTGTGATTCAAGTCCTGGACCAGGCAGCTGCACACATGCTGGGCATGTGTGTGTATGTTTTCCCAAAATCCCAGGAGGAGAATGGAGAAGAAAGATCTGTGGCGTGACCACACCTCTTGTGTAGTGATTTCTAACTTCCCTCCCCTCTGTCACTCTCCTCTTCAGTGAGCATATGTGTCATATGACAAAATCCACATACCAAAATAATAAAAGTCACCTTGCCTGGTATTTCTGCCTGCCACGTCCAGAGAAACCTCCCATGTATACTCTCTCATAGGGTCACAGTTTTGTGTTCTTCAAAGCACTTATTAATATCTTATATGTTACATGATTAGTTAACTCTTTATCAAATCCTCTTACCCGATTGTCAATAAATTGTATTTTAGTTCCTCAGCGACTTATATTCTTTATCTAGATTATGCCTGAAACATGGGGTGTTGGAGGTTGAGGGGCTCTCAAATGATATTACTCAAAAAGATGAAAGAATTTCTCAGTAAAATTGCAGAATTCATGACCTTTTTAGGAAAGGTTGAGATTGGGAAAAGAATTCTCAGCCAGAGGTATCCCAGAAGGGAAGAATGTATGAAGAGTAAAGGCACAATGCATAATATGTGTAGTTTAATTTACTGACTAAAAATAATTTAAATTATAGCATTTTAACTCTCTGGGTAATGCCCTTTTGAGTTCACATTCATCATTTTGCCTTTCTTTTTCCTTGTAGTCACCTCTACCACATGAAACCAGGGAATGGTACAAGAATTTCAGCATTTATTCTTCTTGGACTTTCAGAGGAACCAGAATTGGAGCCCCTCATATTTGGGCTTTTCCTCTCCATGTACCTGATCACTGTGTGTGGAAACCTGCTCGTCATCCTGGCCACCATCTCAGACTCCCACCTGCACACCCCCATGTACTTCTTCCTCTCCAACCTGTCCTTCGTAGACATCTGTTTCACCTCCACCACCGTCCCAAAGATGCTGCTGAACATCCAGACACAGAGCAAGGTCGTGACCTATGCAGGCTGCATCACCCAGATGTTCTTTTTCATACTCTTTATAGTGTTGGATGACTTTCTCTTGACTGTGATGGCCTATGACCGGTATGTGGCCATCTGTCACCCCCTGCACTACACGGTCATTATGAACCCACAGCTCTGTGTGTTGCTGGTGCTCACGTCCTGGATCCTGAGTGCTCTGCATTCCTTGATGCATAGCTTAATGGTGTTGCAACTGTCCTTCTGTACACACACCGAAATCCCCCACTTTTACTGTGAACTTAATATGGTGGTCCACCTTTCCTGCTCTGATCCCTATCTTAACGACATGTTAATCTATTCTGCAGCTGGACTGCTGGGTGGCGGAACCTTTGCTGGGATCCTTTACTCTTACTCTAAAATTGTTTCCTCCATACTTAGAATGTCATCCACTCGGGGGAAGTATAAAGCCTTTTCCACCTGTGCCTCCCATCTCTCAGTTGTCTCCTTATTTTATGGTACGAGTCTAGGAGTATATCTGAGTGCTCTTGACAGTCAAAATTCACACTCAAGTGCAACAGCCTCAGTGATGTACACTGTGGTCACGCCCATGCTGAACCCTATCATCTACAGTCTGAGGAATAAAGACATAAAGAAAGCCCTGGGTGACCTACTGGTAAGGAAACCATCATAGAATAAACGATCCTGGCAGTGAAGAAGTGTCCTTGTTATTAGAGCTCAGAGTTTCAGTCTCAGAAATAGTGATAATCTGATCATATTACGGAAGCAGAACTTATTCCTTGTAATGCTCTTCACTAACTTCTGTGTCTTATATTTCAACTTCTTTATGCAATTTAAGAACATCCCCTCATTAAGTTTGTGCTCTGTCTCATAGCAACTTTGTCCCTTTCTTCACTTTTGTATTCCATAGTTTTTTCCTAATCACAGATCAGAAATACTTTGAACTACCTTTTAATTGCATGAGTCAGCATGGATTTCTAAGAATAATTATTTCTGAAATGATATATAGCAAATAATTTTCCTTTTTTTCTTTTATAAACAATTCTATGTTGTACATCTATTACAGGAATAAAATAACTACACTTGGGAGGGAATCAAAGGGAAAGGAAAAGAAATAAAATACTTTTAAGGGACATAACAATGGAAAATGATCTGTTGATAATGATATCTATGGTAATGTCTCTGAACTTGTATACAGTGTATTCATGCTGGAAAAATTCATTTTGTGTGATGTTATGATATACAGTCAGTGAATGTAAAAAATTAAATAAAAAAAGAAAAACTTTATTACTAAAGAAATAAAATTATTTTTATAAGTTAATAAAACAACATTTGGCAAGTATGGTCAGTATTACAAGGAAAACCTGACTTCAGGATATTCTAGTTTTGTGTTCATCTCTTCTTTTTATATCACTACCATAGTTATTCTTAATGTACAATTTAACAGATCCATCTATAATTTTCATTGTGTTTTCTTCTCATATTTATGGTTTCATTTGTTCTTGACCCCAATGTCCACAGTGCATATGTGTGCTCATGGGAGCCGGTAAACAGTCATTAATTTTTGCCAGAACTTCTTCAATACAGGATGGGAAATCCTGGAAAAAATTAATGAGTATCTACAGACTCACACATTCACATACCCATGTATCAAGTTGTTGGAAAAATCATGATGTATTTTTCTGTGAAAAAATGTGTCATAACGTTTTTTTTGGAGAGGTTTCCGCTATAGGGCACGTGCACTCGCCAGACAGACAGAGAGAGAGACATAGAGACAGAAAGCGAGAAATCACCCCCCAGGGGGGATGGTCACACCACATTCGCTTCTCCTCCATTCTCCTCTCGGGATCTTGGGCATGCACGCACACGCGACCGGCGTGAGTTTTAAGCCACTGGTCCCGGTGAACCGTGGTTGACTACGTGGGAGTCCAGTGACATAGCCCTTACGCTAACTGCTGGTTCCCATAACTTTTTTTTTTTTTTTGGAGAGGTTTTTGATATAGGGCGCGTGTGCTTGCCAGACAGAGACAGAGACAGAAAGCAAGAAATCACCCCCCAGAGGGAATGGCCATGCTGCAATCCCTTCTCCTCAATTCTCCTCTCTGGATCTTGGGCACACACGCACATGCGCCCGGCATGAGTTTAAACCACCGGGTCCGGTACTCGAACTGCCATTGACTATGTGGGAGTCCAGCAACATAGCCATTATGCTAACTGCTGGTCCCAATAACTTTTTTAATAATCCAATGCTTCCATACCCCCACCCTCTCCTTTATAGTCTTGAGTTTCACCTCTACCACTATCCTAAATATGTTGATGAATATATGAACATGGAGAAAGGCCATAACATATGAAGGCTGCATCACCCAGATATACTTTTATTTCAGTTTGGTTTTTTTTTTGTTTTTTTTTTTTACACATTTCAGGGTTAGATGACTTTATCCTCATCATGATGGTCTATGATGGGTTTGGGGTCATCTGTTGACCCCTACATTATATAGTCATCATGAATTTCCACCTTGGGGGATCGTTGCTTCACTTTTCTCTGCTCATGAGTGTTGTCATTACATAATTATTGGATTTGTGGCTGTTTTTCTGTATTAACTTGAAAAGCTCTTATCATTTCTCTGAATTTTTAATCACTTGTCCATGTTGCTTGTTTAGATATGTGTCTTTTTTTCTTTTTTTCTTTCTTTTTTAAGATTTTTTGCCCTTGGACATGTGCTCTCACCAAAGACAGAGAGTGAAACAGAGAGGAAAAGTGAGAAAGCATCCCTTGAGGGGATTGCCACTCTGCAAAATCTTTTCTCTTCCATTCTCCTCTCAAGATTTAGGACATACATGGACATGTGTCTGGCATGATTTTCTTTTTCTTTTTTTGTTTTTTGAGAGGTTTTTGTTTTTGTTTTTGCTATAGGGCACATGTGCTCGCCAGAAAGACAGAAAGAGACAGAGAGACTGAAAGTGAGAAAACACCCCCCCCCAGAGGGGTTGGCCATGCCATAATCCCTTCTCCTCCATTTTCCTCTCAGGATCTTGGGCACACATGCACATATGCCCAGAGTGAGTTTAAGCCACTGGGTCCGGGACTCAAACCACAGTCGACTACATGGGAGTCCAGTGACACAGCCATTACACCAATTGCTGGCCCCTCTGGCATGATTTTCTAGCCACTATCCCCAGGACTAGAACCGTGGTTGGCCAACTGTGGGAGTCCAGTTTTAAACTACTATGCTACCAAATGGCCCCTGGACACCTTTCATAATGACATGATGAGTTTTACATCTGTGTAGGTGGGGGCTAGAACTGTTTCTGGGATCCTTTGTTCTTACTCTACTTTCCTTCATGTGTGCAATCTCATCAGCTCAGAGGAAGTATAAAGCTTTTCCCACCTCTTCCTCTCACCTCTCAGTTGTCTCCTTATTTTATTGTATAATAAAATAGAGG